GCTCATACCCAGTATGAACTTACGTGAATTTTTAATCGACAACAAAGAAGACACCCCTGAGGACTTGGTACGGAAAATCATGTTCAACGTAACAATTGCAGCTCACACGTGCTGCCAACGCGGAGTGTTTCACAGCGATATCAAGCTGGAGAACTTGCTGATAAATCCGGAGACCTTTGAAGTCAAACTGATTGACTTTGGGTGCAGTGTCCTCCTTACTAAAGACTGTTACCATCACTATTCAGGTATGTAAATCCCTCAAAGCTCTAAGGAGCTCTTGTGATGGGTCAAGGCTCAATGAGATTCTTGAAACATCCGCTGTTATTTATCTATACCAGGGGTGACAAAGCTCAGTCCTAGAGGCTTAAGTTTAGCTCCAACTTGCCTCAACACACCTGACAGAAAATGTTTAGTATACTTAGTAAGAGCTTGATTAGCTTGTTCAGTTTCATCTTAGTGGGGCTGGAGCTAAACACTGCAGGACACAGATCCTGGGTTTAATCACCCCTGATCTACACTGTTGGAAATTTAGATGTTGTGCTAATAAAAACAAAATCTCTTTCTTTCAGGCACAAGACTTTTCGCCCCTCCCGAGTTTTTAAACACTGGCAGATACCATGGGGAGCCAGCGACAGTGTGGTCACTCGGGATTCTTCAGTTTTTGCTATTGTTTAAAAAATATCCAGTAGTAGTTGACCTCTTCAAGTTGCATAACAGAGACATAGAGTTTGCCAGAGGGTCAAAAGGTGAGATCTTCTCTTCAGTTACAGATGGTTGTGTATAACAATTTGAATGTCAATGAAAAAAGCATGTTTAAACTTCAAGCCAATATTTACATGTACTGTATTTCTTTCTTTTCAGAATGCAGGGATTTCATCTGCGCTTGCCTGCAGTTGAACATCAACATTCGAAGTAAACTGCATGCTCTCCGTGCCCATGCCTGGTTTAAGGTGATTAATACATTTTGAAGATTTTGACAATAGTCAAATGAATCTGTCATGAGCTGAGTTTCCATCCTGATGTGAAGCACAATGTGAAGTTTACTAAATATATATTTATATATTTTGTAATTTTAAATAAGAATTATGACCAAATAATTTCCATCAAGTTGGTCGAGCAGCTGAACTGTAGTATTGGTAACCTCGTAACCAACAGTAAACAAGGGAAGTATAATTGAGAAATGTTCGCTACATCAAAGTTCATTTGACAAATGCTTTTCCATCATGAACCCTTTTTCACACAAATCCAAAATGACCTCAAGTGAGCATAAAACATTTTGTGAATTAAGGGATTCTCATTTAAATTTGTTTCTCATGTGATTCTTAAAAAGGTGCATTAACACAGGCTGATGGAAACCCAGTTAGTGTCAGACGACAATCCTGTGTTCTTAAACTTCTTTTTTTTAATTGACATTTATTGCTTTTCTTTTAATGATATGTTGTTTGTTTAATGCATTAAAGCTGTAACCTGATCACTGTTTTTGTTTCAGGAGGAGAACAAGGAAGAATGAGTAGAAATATCCTAATTTAATGGGTAGATCTAGTCATTCCAGCCACACCATGGTCCTATAGCTGAAAAAAATTTTGTGTAAAAAAAAATAAAAAAAAAATTAAAAAGCACTTAACAGTTTAGACTTTCATATATTGCTAAATATATATATATATACACATATATTTGTATATGTGTTTAAAAAAATGCTAAAAAAAATGCTAAAAAAAAAAAAAAAAAAATTATATATATATATATATATATATATATATATATATATATATATATATATATATATATATATATATATATATATATATATATATATATCTCAGTCGTTCCCAGTCCAGGTCCATATATTTTGGGTGTCTCTCTCTAAGAAATGTAATTTGAGCCAGAGGAGAGAGACTCCTGACCAAAGACTACTGGGATCAACTGATATATATACAGGGTTTCCAATGAACATTATCACTCACCAGCCAATTTGAAAAAAAACTGGAAAAACAATTAATAAAATAAAACAATAAAAAAGTTTAAAATAGAAAAATAAAAAACATCATTAATAAATAAAACAATAAAAAAAGTTAAAAAATATGTATAAATAAATAAAAAAACATCATTAATAAATAAAACTATAAAAAGTAAAAAATAATAAACAAACATTTTAATTCACAGTTTCTTCTCCTCAGTGTGATTATAGGGCACGCGTTCACAAGCACTGTGCAGTGACATATACCCCACGGATGCCTGTGCGACTTCCTCTCTGACTTCCTCTCTTAAAAACTTCACAGGCACATCCAAGGTTATATGTCAGAGGCGCAACACGTGAACGCGTGCCCTATACTGACACTGAGGGAAGAAACTGTTGAATAAAGTTATTTTTGTTTTATGTGTCGTTCCCAGTCCAGGTCCATATACTTTGAGTGTCTCTCTCTAAGAAATGTAATTTGAGCCAGAGGAGAGAGACTCCTGATAAAATATAAAACATCATTAATAAATAAAACAATAAAAAAGTAAATAAATTATAATAATAATATAAAAACATCATTAATAAATAAAACTATAAAAAATGCCTATATTGAAATATAAATCTGGCCATGTTATTGACTAATCAGAAATTCTTCTAAAAACAAGCAAAAAATATTAATAAATAAAATATTGAAAAAAAGTAAGTTTTGTTATTTATTACTCATCCTCGTGTTCACTATTTAAAATATTTTTATTTTTATGTTAGAGCTCCCTCATCCAGACTCAAAGTCCACAAAAACAGTAAAAAAACATCCTCAAAACAGATCATACGCCTTCACATAAAACAAACATTTTTATTCACAGTTTCTTCTCCTCAGTGTGATTATAGGGGACGCGTTCACAAGCACTGTGCTGTGACATATACCCCACGGATGCCTGTGCGACTTCCTCTCTGACTTCCTCTCTTAAAAACTTCACAGGCACATCCAAGGTTATATGTCAGAGGCGCAACACGTGAACGCGCGCCCTATACTGACACTGAGGGAAGAAACTGTTGAATAAAGTTATTTTTGTTTTATGTGCACATAAAAGTATCCTCATAGTCAGGAATCTTGCTGTCTATGAGAGATTAAGGAGCTCTCAGATTTAACTAAAATATCTTCATTATTTTCATTCAGATATCTTCATTTGTGTTCTGAAGATGAATTAAGTTGCTACCTTTAGTATTTGCTTTAATATTGTCCTCATATACAACCTTCTCTAGTCTAATGTTTTGCTAATGTGGTATATGATTTATGGTTGGAGGACATCATTTATTGACTAGTGATTTAGTGTGTAGTTGTAGTTCATGGTGAGTGATAATCCAAACCCTGTATATATAGGTGGCGATGTCCGTTCCTCCACGTGGTGCCACTGGAAACTGCCCATCTTGAAGGTGGTGCTGAGCTGAACACGGACAAAAACTGACATTAGTCTGGGGCGACAAGCCTCACAACTGATGACAATCATGAATTTTGTACTAAAGTTTGAAATAAAGTCACATTTGTCAAAAATAAGTGCTTCTTCTATTTTTTAAAGGCTGATTACTGCTGATTATTGTGTGTTTCAAATGAGATCATTCAGGAACAAGAAATGACAACGTTTGTAGATTTAACACAGATTAGCTGGATTTAACGTTACTGAGCTGAATGTGTTTGATGTACAAGCATACATGTGATGGAGTTTTTTGATTCTGAGAACTGAGCCACCGTGCCACCCAGTTAACTTAATACTTTTTACAAAGTTAAGTGGATTGAACATAAAACAATACAATTTTTCTAGACAAAACTCCCAATCAAAGATAACTCCTACATTTTTTACTTGAGATTTAACATATGGTGTAAGACTTCCCAAGCCCCCAATATAAGACATTCTTGTTTCTGAGGGGCCGAAGAGAATAACCTCAGTTATCTGTGGGAAGCGGTTGCATTTCTGAGCCTGTATTAGCTGCAATAGCAAGCATTGTGTGCAAAACTGTCAAACAAACAAACAAGCAGGAGTATTCTGACCATTTTATGGTTGCAGTTTGAGAAGTTGTGTGCTGTTTTTATTCTTTTTAATGTCTTTATAAGCTCTTCATTGTCTCTTAAATCTCTTCATTTGAACCCCTTATCAGATTAGTTTGGTGTTATTGCCTCTTCAGAACTGCACTGTAAAAATAAAAGTCATTTTACAGATAATTGTCTGTATTTTTTTACAGAATTTTCCAGTTTTTTCATTATACAGGGAAATACTTGTTGTTTTACAGATGTGTTCTGTAATAAAAAATTCTAACATTAAATTTTCAGTTATTGCTTGTAATTTGGTATTACGTTATTTTTTTAAAGGAAAGATTTGTATGTATTTTTAGAGAGTAACTCATATTTCTACGTTAATATTTAGATTATTCCTGTAAAAATAGGAAAATAAAAATTCAGTCAAATAATTAGAGAAGGGGGAGACTGCAGACTTGGATCCAGACAGATCTACGGCCCAGGCAGTTTTACACCCCTGTTGTTCCTGATGCGTCCAGTAGAGAGAGTACAGTACAGTATAAGCCTCCAGAGCTTTATCACACCCAACCAAACGCGACACGATGAAGAGGTATGTTAAATACGTGTTTAAAGCATTAGCAAACATGAAACCTAAACATTTTTTATTAGATTAAGGTCGATATGAGTGTATGTCAACACAAACAAATTGGTGTAATATAACAGCAATGTGTTAGTTTGACTAACATTTTAGCAAACTATGTGCAGGCAGGCTAGCTACATGTTCTACATCAACAAAAAAAGTAAAAGAACATTAACCTACATAGGAAAGTGTGTTATGTAGGCTAATTTTCATTGACTTTTTTGTCTCAGCAAGGGAGTAATTATTATATATTTAATAACTAATTTAAAGATATATATTTTCTCATAGATTAGACAATACACTTGCGTGGTCTGGGTAGTCAGCCAAATCTACACTACATTATTCCTCCATATTTGACTTTCTTAAATATTGAAATAAATCTAAACAGATATGAAAATTGAATTTTATTCAAAATTTTAAAATTGCATTGCATTCAATTACATTTGATATAATGCAATCCTGTTCTAGTTTAAACAATTAAACGATCATATATCTATAAATGCATAGAGAAAGTCAAAAATTATAAATGGTCTACTTATTTGTGTTCATTTAGCTATACAGTACATTTTATATATTGGCAATGAAGTTTGCACTGTACATGCATTCATATTGTTTATCACTTATTGTTTCATAATATTTATTGTAACAATTTGTTACAAAGAAAATAATTATATATGCTAAATATGGGAAAGTCAGGATCACAATTTGTAGCTGCAAATAACAAACCATTTCAAATATAATGACTTTTGTTATACCTCAAGTTATAATTCTTAAATCATAAATCAAATAAAAAAAACTATTTTGATATGTTTCGCATACGTCCAGGTAATATGTAAAATGGCATGAATTTTTTTTTCTTTTTCCATTCCTTACTGTTTCTGAGAATTTTTAGATATTTGGACTAGAAACAAGTCTGAGACTTAAGTAAGAAAATAATTTTTGCAGAGTACTTATGCATAACTTTTTTTTTTTTTGATGCAAGGATTCAGCTTCATTTAAAGAAAACTGGCAATCTCTAGTGATATTGTTGTCAATAAATCAATGTTAAAAAAATCTAATGTTGTCTGGGTTTTTGTCAGGTAGCTAAATGGTCCTTTGAATTTTAGAAAGTAGTAAATTGTTTGTCTAAATGTTCAGCAGCTGTCTGGTAGTCAATACCACTGCATTCTTATCAAAGCACATCATTACTCCATGTTACACTGTATTGTTTGGTTATAATTTTATTATTTTCAAAATGCAACTTTATATATAAACAATAGAACAAAATGCATCTCTCTATATGAATATGTATAACTAGGCAACAATTAACCATTACACTTTCCAACTATTTGTGTATTTAATTTTTCTTATTAAATGAATCTAAATTAATTTGCAAGTGGGCTTTTGCATATCTGAAATTGTTTGGTGAGTGTATCAATTCTGCATATTATCAAGTGAGTTTATAACTCACTTTGGTATACATTAACTTAGCTTTCATATTTAGTTTTTAAAAAATGTTAATAAAAGAAAAAAATACATATATATATATATATATGTAACTTGTGTTAAATACATGCTATCTACTGACATGTATTGTACCAATGAAGATCTAAAGTGTCACGACAAATAAATTTAAAAATGATGTAGACCTGCATATACATGCCAATGTCAGTGACACATCATGCCAGTAATTCAAATCAATTCAGCTTTATTTGTATAGCGCTTTTACAATGTAGATTGTGGCAAAGCAGCTTCACATAAATGGTCATAGTAACTGGAACAGTGTAGTTCAGGTTTTAGTGTTTAAGTTCAGTTCAGTTCAGTTTAGCTCAGTTCAGTGTGATTTAATCATTACTGAGGGTTCAAACACTGAAGAGCAAATTCATCGATGCGTAGCTCTACCAATCCTGAACCATGCGAGGCAGTGGCGACAGCGGAGAGGGAAAAAAAAACTTCACCTGATGGGAGTGAAGAAAAAAAACCTTGAGAGAACCAGACTCAGTTGGGCACGACCATTTTAATTTTTCCGCTGGCCAAAAGTCTTGTGCAGAGCTTCAGTCACCGTGGTGGAGGCAGTAATGTCAATGACACATCATGCCAGTGTCAGTGACACATGCCAGTAATGTCAGTGACACATGCCAGTGTCAGTGATCTTGTGACATGTGCCAGTAGGTGTCAGTATAAGCACGTTATAAGCACATTAATCTTATAAGTCTCTTTGCTTTAATATTTAAAAATCATTAGGCAAATGACACCTGTTATCTTACATGCATATATGTTATGAGTTTTCAACATGCATTTTATTATAACTTTATAAAGGATATTATTTAAAATACCTTAAAATAAAAATAAGTTAAATAATAAAATAAATGAATGAATTAAAAACATAGAGAAGTCCATATTGTAGGGAACAAAGGAACTGCCAGGATGCAATAATATACAGTACAACAGATAAGTGTAACCCCTCCCATACATAAGCATGCCACAATAAATTTGACTGACATGTACTGTTAAATGACTATATTACTTACGGAAGTATGACTACGAATACATAAAATAAATGCGTTTAAATTAAAACATCGTGGAGTAGCTCAGCATATAAACTAACTTGCGACGCGATAAATTAGGTTAAAAGTTGCGTAATGATTAAATACGGTTTTGCTCGTGTTAATTAATGTCATAAGCTTCGCCGGGTGTCGATGTCACTGCAGTGACATGCAGCAAGACACTCTGAGTGACACAGGTCACTACACATGCCACTAGCGAGTGACACATGACAGTGGAAAACCGGACGTGCCACCGGAAGTGTCACTACACTCAGTGGCATGTGCCAGTGTCATCTGTACGTCAGATGTCGTGTCACTCCATGTTAAAACTGCTACTGTGAATCCGCGTTCAAACGCACACAATAAGCTAAAACTCGCCCCAAGCACCGGCAAAAACAAATAACAATGAATGTGTCGAGGAAAGAGTAAGGACATATCTTAATTATTTATTAATAAACTTATTCTGAGTCAGTGTCGCAAAGATCCTGACTGGCAATCTCCTCTTGGACTCCCCTTTAGAGAGAAATTCATCTTTACAGATTACATGAAGGAGTTTTTTTGTTTTCGATTATACATTTTGCTTCATTTTGTTAAGCGCTCCTGTTCAAAAACCAGACGACAGAAAGCGCATAATTTTGGTTTTCTTTATTTTATAAAAACGCTGTAACGTTTTTTGATGTATTACTCGTACTTTGTGAGCAAAAATGACGGATAACTTTAAATTGCTCCCACTGAAAAAATGCAAGTGATTGCTCTGGCGCCTCGATGTCCTGCAAGCTTTTTATAAGCAAACTATGCGCCTAATAGCACACATTCTTTAACGTTTAAGCTACCATTGTTTTATACTTGAACTGAAACTAAATATAAACACTTTGCCATTAGGCTACATACAAAACTGAACTATTTCATAGCTGAAACACTAAGTTGTTTAAGGAGAAGGGGGAAATATATTTTTGTCCCGTCTATTGCTTCACTGTTATTTCGAGAATAAACCCAGCGTAAATTGTCATTCCCAAAACATATCAGCGTATATGTGCCGAAAACGAAAGTTTCATACAAATTCTGAATGGATTATAGCCTGGAAAGTGCAAAGCACGCTCCTCTTATCACTAAAAAGCGTCACTAATCTTAGTTCATAGAGATCTCACAAAGATCCGTTATAATTTATAAAGCTCTCTAAATTACACAATTAATCTTTTATTTACATGGCGTCTACACTCAAAAGATGATTCACGAGCACACAAAATGGCACTTAATAAAACCAATCCGGCGCTTTCAGCAGTGAGTGAATTCTGTGAATCTAGAGAAATGACAGATCAATATCCGTGAACCTGATTTTTTTTTCCTCCGCAGCCACAGTACGCCGGAAATCCGGCGTGGTGCCAGAACGCTATCACCCCTGTAATATACATAATATATTATATATATAATATACATGGCCAAAGATACATGGCCAAAGAACTAAATTGTTATCCCTGCACCACTCTGTGAAGAGCTTTACCTCCTCCCTGTAGTTCCTCTCATCATTATCCTGGATGAGACCCACTATTGTGGTGTCATCAGCATATTTAATAATGTGATTAGTGCTAAGTTTTGCACAACAATCATGGGTCATCAGAGTGTATAGAATTGGACTCAAGACGCACCCCTGAGGGGAGCCTGTATTGAGCAGAGTGGTAGATGACGAAATACCCTCCGCTCGCACAAACTGTAGCCTATTTGTCAGAAAGTCAAGAATCCAGTTCCGAAGAGGTGTATTAAGACCTAGAGATGCTAATTTATTGACCAGGTGCTGAGGAATAATAGTATTAAAAGCAGAGCTAAAACTAACAAACAGCACCTGTACCGATGTGTTTCTACCCTCCAAGTGTTCAAGACTCAGATGCAGTGCAGTGGATATAGCATCATCAGTTGACCTGTTTGGCCGACAGGCTAACTGAAATGGGTCAAGTGAAGTAGGCAGGATGGAGGTGATATGACTTTTTACCAGTTTCTCAAAGCATTTCATTATCAGTGAAGTTAAAGCTATCGGCCGATAGTCATTTAAAGAAGTGACTGAAGGTCTTTTTGGCACTGGAATGATAGCAAATGTTTTGTAGCATGATGGCACAACAGCTTGATGCAGAAAGATATTAATTATGTCCGTCAGTACAGGCGCAAGTTGTTCTGCACACCCCTTGAGTACTCTGCCTGGTATTTTGTCAGGCCCAGCCGCCTTACCAGCGTTTACTTTCTTTAGGGTCTTGCGGACATTAGTGATATCAAAGCTTAGCACCTGCTCGTCGTGCTGCAATGTGGCCTTCACTGCTGATGTAAAACAGCATCAAACCTTACAAAGTAGTTGTTAAGATCATTAAGTAAGTTAAAGTTGTTTTCACAGGACAATGAGATGCTTGTATAGTCTGTGACAGACTGAATACCCTGCCATAAACTTCTAGGGCTCTATTTTGACGATCCATGCGCAGAGCGCAAAACGCAGGGCGCAAACGCTTTCAGGGCGTGTCAGAACGCGTTTTTGCTAATTTAAGGACGGGAAAATCCGCTTTGCGCCATGGCGCATGGTCTAAAAGGGTTGAGTTTATTTTCTTAATGAGTTATAGGTGTGTTTTGAGAATAAACCAATTAAAGCCTCATCTCCCATTACCTTTAAGAGCCAGCTGCGTCACGCCATAAGCGCATTTTGACGTAAAGTAAGTTCACTCTCGCTTTTGCTCTCGTGGATAGGGAAACCTTTACGCACAGACATCAATTAGCCTATAAATAATTAATTTTGTTTGTTACGCGCAAAGATTTGTTTCAAAACTATTTCTAAATTCAGTTCTAATTTCCAGCAAACGAATAAATGAACAATAATAACAAAGTGTGCTCAAAATACTGAGTTATTTCCAAATACACCTGCCATGCCCCATATTGTCTAAAATTTGACAGGTGGACTAATCTAAGCTTGTTTTTTAATAAAACAAATATAAATATGGATATAATAAATAATACTGCTAATAATAATAATATTATACAAAAGCAAATTGAATGAACTGAAAAAGCCTCGCGAGAGAAAGAAAGTAAGGCAGTGGTTTTTAAATCTTCATGTAGACTAGAAATTAATATGTTTCGTAATATTTTAGTCATTTTTATTTATATCCTGTAAATATCCTTATTATATATATATATATATATATATATATATATATATATATATATATATATATATATATATATATATATCCTTAAGATATTATATATTTTTCATATGTAAAGATATTTGCGTATTGCTCTGCATCTTGTTTGTAGTGTGTAAGCCAGGCGCACTTTGCGCCAGACAACAGAGCGACTTTGTTCTGGTCTAAAGATCAGACTATTTACAGTTTCTCAAAATAGCAACGCGCCAAAACACGCCTGCTTTTTTAGACCAGAACGCCTATGGGCGCACATTTGAGCGCAAATGCATTTGCTATTTAAACAGCGTGGCGCAACGCCTCAAAATGACCCTTGCGCCGAGCTAAAAGTAGCAAAAGAGTATTGCGCCGCGCCTTTCGCCACATTGCCCCGGTTGTATGATAGGGCCCCTAAATTGTCTTTGTGGTCCTGAAAGTATTCTTTAATCTTATTTCCATGGGCTCTTTTTGCCACTCTGATTGCCCTTTTCAGATTGGCCCGAGCAGACCTAAGGACAGCTGCATCCCCGCACTTGAAAGCAGAGTTTCTTGTTTTTAGCAAAGTCCGCACCTCTGCAGTCATCAAGTGTTTCTCATTCGCTCTGACTTTAATGTTCTTAGTGACACAGCCATCCTCCATACACTTAAAAATATAACTGGATACAGCATCAGCATATTCATTCATATCTGTGCCTTGGCCATTTGTGGAGGCCTCTCTGAACACAGTCCAGTCTGTGCGATCAAAGCAGTCCTGTAATTCAGATATAGCTCCCTCTGGCCAAATTCTCACTTGTTTTATAGAGGGCTTGGTACTTGTGAGACGGACTTTGTATGTTGGTATTAACAAAACAGAAAGGTGATCTGTTGAGCCAAGATGGGGACGAGGAACTGCTTTGTAAGCCAGTTTAATGTTTGTGTGAACATGATCCAATACATTCATACCTCTTGTGGCTAAATTTACGTATTGAAAAAAGTGGTGGAGCACTTTCTTCATGTTTGCCCGGTTGTAATCACCAGCAGCAATGATTACTCCCTCTGGATGAGAAGTATGAAGTCTGTTTATAAAATGGTATAAAATATCAAGGGCTGTTTTTGTATCTGCATCGGGAGGGATATTTACAGCAATAATAAAAACAACGGACAATTCTCTCGGAAGATAAAAAGGGCGGCACTTTACTGTCAAAACCTCAATATCAGGCAAACAGTATGAGCAGATCATATTTACATCCTTGCCCCATCTATTATTAATATAGATGCAGAGACCACCACCTCGGGATTCAGTTAACATCATTTAATTAGCCACAGTCAGTGTTATCAGGAGTGTTAATAAAGTGAAATGCCTTAATGTTTATCAAGAAATCTGGTCTTCCTAAAAAAAAAAAAAAAAAAAAAAAAGCACTTTTCCGACGGTCCCTTACTAAGAGCTCCGCTCAGCGCGAGCTCTGCTGGCTAAACGCAGATTGCGAGGGCTCAAACGGAGCAGTGCTCGTAATGTCGAGCGAAAAAAAAGAAAAAAGTAGCTGTGTAACATAACCAGCTTTGTCTTTTTGTAGGAAACACACTTTAGATCTTTTTAGGGTAAGAGGTTTCTGAGTTATTGCCGTCTATCGTACTGGTTTTGATTCACCGCAATGTAAATATAGCTGCAGCTAGCCTATGTGACGTTGCGCGACCCACCTTTGTTCACTGTGCGACCCACTAGTGGGTCGCGACCCAGTTTGAAAACCCCTGCAATAGATCACTCAGATCTTTAGGATCATATAAACTAGAAATTCCAAGAGTTCAGTCAAAGCAGGGTGAATCAGCTTTCAGCAACTATGCCCCTCACTGCTGGAATCAGCTTCCAGAAATGATCAGATGTGCTCCAACATTAGGCACATTCAAATCAAGACTGAAAACACATCTGTTTAGCTGCGCCTTTACTGAATGAGCACAGTGCATTGCAGATCGCACTATTATGTTTTTCTCTTCTTTTTCATTGTTTATATCACATTTTATCTGTTTTTATGTTGGATTTTTAAAAATTATTTTATTATTTGTTTTTATTTTTCTTATAACTGTTTATTCTTGTTTATGTAAAGCACTTTGAATCGCCACTGTGTATGTAATGTGCTATATAAATAAACTTGCCTTGCCTTAAAGAACACATTCTAAGATGAATAATAGTTGTTTTTTACCTGCATTTCCTCTGAAAATAAATACAAGCGATGAAAATCACTGAAGATGTCTGCTGTGGATGTGGTATATGTGTCCAGTTTCTAATGTTCTCCATACGCTTGAGTCTGCTAAACAACAGAACAAAGAGAGAAACTTTAAACAGCTCATTTGTGTCAAACATCAGAAGAATTCCAGCATCAGAAATAAATAGACTTGCATATTCCAGGCGTCCCCAGATGAAAACATCTTAACTATTCAGAATGCAGCACCGTGAGTCATGTGACAAGAACCGACTGATCAGCTTCATATTTTGTATGGAATATAATTTCCTTAGACTAATTATCTCAGACAAACACAGAACACCCAAACACACTGCAGTGCTTTAAAATGTTCTCCATAAATAAAACTTGTATCAGAGTGCAGCAATGTTTTGCCAGCTTGAAATCCTAGGAGAAAAATGGGTTCCCTCCCAATCTTATTTTTACCAATATATTAGTAATATATAAATCTAATTTTACCAATATGTCATATGTATTTGCAATACACTGAAATTTTTTTTAAAGATGATTTCTTGGATTTACTCAATTTTTTACGTTAAGTGGTTGTAAAACAATTTATTTGGCCTGAATTTAAACAAACAAATTAAATTGAACATTATTAAATTAAATTTGTTTAGTTAAATTCAACACAAATAAATTGTTTGCAACAGTTCTGCATGCAACACTTTTTTAGTGTATATATTTTTCAATTTATCAAAAATTGTATAAGTATGAATATGACGCTGCCTCGTTTTCAAACTGTGCAGTGCTGTAGCTGCTTAATTTGGCCAATTATGCTACTTTATTTCAATACTGGTTATTATGGTGGTACTTGGCGAGACAGTTTTTTTCTGAGGTGGTACTTGGTGAAAAAAGTTTGAGAACCACTGCGCTAGAATATCTCTCTGCACTAGAATCCCTGCACGGATGTTTAGTTGACATCAAACTTTGGCTGTTACAGAACTTTCTTTCTCTAAACAAAGACAAAAGAGAATGTATTGTGTTTGGCAACTCGAACATGAGTGCCCTCAAATTATCTTAGCTTTCCCCACGTTAAGCATGTAGTTAAAAATATGAGAGTGAGTTTGGACAGTAATTAAAATTCATTAATTAATAATTCAGTGATCAAGGCAGGCTTTGGGGGTTTTACAATGTGGTCACATGTTGATTGGTCAGTCTGAATGTCTCAGAATTTGAGTTTTAGTCACATGGTCAAGAAAGAGACAAAATAGCTGGGAAACTCTGCTCTGTCTCTTTTCCTGGCCTGTCTTTTCCTGGTCTGCGCTCTCCTGCTCTGCTCCTCTCCTCTGGAGTCTATCTTTTCTGCCTCTTTGAGGCCTACTTGCTCTCTTTGTCTCTCCCTCCCCCTGTCTCTCCTTCTACCTCTGGTAATTATAATTTTTATATTTAAGCTGGGAACAATCAATATCACGTTTTTATCTTTTTATATTGTTATCATTTTATATAGTTATTCAGTTGTAACCATAGAAAATTATTGTCATTAAATCATTTCATTTTCAAGTATTTGTGAATTACTTTTGATTTAACATCAACTTCTTAATTGCTCCATATTGCAATATAATACAATCACATAATATCAACGCTCTCCCACATTTTAAGCTACTAATACTGCCCTCATTGCCGTTTTTAGCATAAGATTGCAGAAGAATGGTTTGACTAGAATGTACAGTGTTTTACTATCATGCTGATAACTTTTTACTCATTCGGCAAAACTACAGTTAGAACCGCTGTGGTTAAAACGCATTCTTACACAAGTATAAAAGTATACTTTATTTAGTAAGTATACTAATATCAATATCCATCTCCCAGAAGCCCAGAAAAATACACTGCAGTGACAAAAGCTGCACACTTTGTCGATAAAAAAAGACATAAAAATTAATGTTACATTTTAACTTAACGCGTGTACAGTTCAAATAATTGTTCAGTCATTTACTGGTGTCATTAAAATAAACAAATTAACACCATGATGAATCCTTGTGTTAGTCTGAACAGACACGCCATGCCACACCCATATTTTATACATTTAAAGTGCTTTGGCTATACTGTTCAAAATGTCATGCCAATAAAGCAACCTGAACCTGAATGAGATAGAGAGGAGCAGATTTCACTTGTTAGTAGATGCACATGGATGCAATGGCATAAATGGTGGTGCTGAGCTGAACATGGACAAAAACTGACATTAGTCTGGGGCGACAAACAATTATGAATTTTGTACTGAAGTTTGAAATAAAGTCACATTTGTCGAAAATAACATATTTTTTATTTATTTAAACTTTTTACTTTTTTTACTTTTACCGGTTAAAAAGGAATATTGTTAAGTAGGCTATTTATGTGCTGTGGGTAAAAGGTGTGTTTGAATCCGGCTACCACCGCAAGTATATTTTAAATCTGTGGGAATCACTGCTTAAGAACTTCACATCATCACAGAGGTGGCACTGTTTAAAGCTAAACTTAAAACCTATTTATTTAGACTTGCTTTTGATATATGGTAGGACAAAATTTTATTGTTTTATTGACACCTGTGGTCTTACCATCTTATGTGTTTTATTGTTTATTTCTTTTTTTTTTATACTGTAAAGCACTTTGGGCAGCCTCCTAGTTGTAATAAGGTGCTATATAAATACAGTTAGATTGATTGATTGACAAGATGTGAGCATACTTTCATGTTAATGGTTTAATAAAAGTGTTAATAAAGTTTCTGCAATACACATGCTCATTATTTAATTAGAAACTGGTTAGAAATTTGTAATTCTTCAAGTCGATTTACTCATTTATGATGGGCACTTTAAGTTTTTGAGCCAAAAAAAGTTTATGTGAACACCAAGAAACATATTAAAATAAAATCAATCATATCATGCAGTATAAATTCAGAAACATCCGTTAACAAACATGCAATAATCTGCTCTCTACATACTTGTGGTACTTGGAGGTTTGTTCTTCTCTCAGTCTCATCACATTCTCCATATTTCCTCTGCTTCCTAGTAAACCAAGAACAGCCATGTTTAATATTATTATTAAAGTAACTTTCATACACTCAGACATGTGTAGAGATAAACCCCTGATAGCTTCTACTCTTACTAGATAAATCACAACCCAGTACAGGGAAACACTCATACACTCTCTCATTCACACACACACTCATACACTACGGCCAATTTAGTTTTATTCAATTCACCTACAGCACATGACTTTAGACTATGGGGGAAACCGCAGCACCTGAAGTTGTGTCCTGTTTTTTAGTCATTTAAATGTCTTTATAATCTCTTTATTGTCTTTTAAATCTCTTCACATAAGCCAAATTCCTGCATCAGAGTAGTTTGGTGAAGGATGCGGATTTCTGCTTTCCAATCCCTCTCATCATGGACCAACATTTATCCTTTTCTCATCATCCTGTTTCTCAGTATTTAACTGTGAATTGATTTTAATTAATGAATAAGTTAACACTGCTTAATATAAGAATGTTCAGTGCATTTGCCTGTCTCTTTATACCTATTTTCAGGAGCCAGCAAACTAGGTCAGAGGTCATGGAGACCTTGAGTGGAACTGATGGCTGAGGACTGGAATCAACTGTTTCTATTGTTATTTCTATGAGTTAATACTGTCTAAAATGATTTTGCTATTTTTACGGTTAAATCTTTAAAAGTGATTCTACTTTTTATTCAAGATAGACTTTGTGTAGTGAGGATATTATAACTGCCTGAATGTAGATGATAACGGTTTTTAACCAGTTTTGATAAAGACGGCTGAGAGTACACTCAGCCTTGGATAAGAAACAGATTATACTTTAAGTGTGTGTGTTCTATTTGATTGTTGATCTGTTTCACAGGTCTGGAGTCAGCTCTAATCAGTCTAAGGGATGTCTGACGTTTATGCTTAAGATAATGTTCAGAATTGCACGCTCGAACCCCACGTGAAAATTTTCCTAGTCTCTGTGTTTTAACCAATCAGGTTAGAACACATATGTATGACGCAGTTAATGACGTTATGTGAGAGTATAATTGTTATTGATTGGTGATTTGTAAGCAGAGCGGCCTAGGAACTCATTGCGAGTGTTGAAGCTGGTCTCTGCTGATGTAACTGCAAACTATCTTCAGTAAACTTGATTTATTTATTTAAATCTCTGACTCCGGCTCTTCTTCATCTACCAGACTGGTCATTCTTTGGGTTAAACTGTAAACTATCCCTACATTGGTATTATTACCTCTTCAGAACTGACCATCTGTACTCCCAACTTTCTCGTACCTTTAAAAGCCCCTGTGCATGTATTGTGTTTTGTGTGTAGTTGTAGTTCATGGTGAGTGATAATCCAAACCCTGTATATATAGGTGGCGAGGTCCGTTCCTCCACGTGGTGCCACTGGAAACTGCCCATCTTGAAGGTGGTGCTGAGCTGAACACGGACAAAAACTGACATTAGTCTGGGACGACAAGCCTCACAACTGATGACAATCATGAATTTTGTGTCAAACATCAGAAGAATCCCAGCATCAGAAATAAACAGACGGTTAAAACATCTCAGACTGCTGATTAACTGTGAATGACTGTTTTATATTGATTATATGAATGTAGATATTACTGCAAATCTGTCTTATTGGCAAAACTGGAACTAATGAGTAAGTGCACCCATTAAATGTGTGAAGAGAAATTGTCAAATACAATTAACAGGAAACCTCATGGACGCCATGCACACATAATAACAGACTGAGATTAAATATAGCAGGGTGCAATTATTTTTGCAATACATCATTGAATTTGACTGTATTACTTTATTATCCCATATATGTACACTAGAATATCTCTCAGCACTAGAATCTCTGCACGGATGTTTAGTTGACATCAAACTTTGGCTGTCACAGAGTTTCTTTCTCTGAACGAAGACAAAGCAGAATGTATTGTGTTTGGCAACTCAAACATGAGTGCCCTCAAATGATCTTAGCTTTTCCCCACGTTAAGCATGTTTCGAACAGTAGTTAGTAAACGGTAAACAGAATAATTTGGTGATAATTCAGGCCGGCTTTTTGCAGCTTTGCCTTTTTGCCAAAGTCATTTCGGAGCCAGCGTGATCTAGAGAAAGCCTTTCATGCTTTTATCAGCTCTCATCTGTACTATTGCAATGCACTTTATGTTGGAATTAACCAAAGCTTACTTTATCGTTACAACTGGTGCAAAATGCTGCTGTTCGCATGCTGACGAATAGTCGTAAACGTGAGCACATCACACCTGTCCTTTACTCTCTTCACGGTCTCTCTGGTAAATTCAGAATTGATTGTTTTAATGCAGTTAATGATCTTGCACCTTCACATTTATGTGAGATTTTAAAGATTCACAAACCGAACACGATCCTACGATCAGCAGGCCAGTTGTTTGTGGAGGTCCCCAGATCTAGGTATAAACAATAGCCGCATTTCCACTTTCGGGCCAGTGTGAGCCAGGGCTTTTATCGGGCCAGGCCAATCGAGTAGTGAGGCCGAAATCATGTCGCGTTTCCACTGTTGAGCTAGTAGCTCGCAGAGCGTCACACAAACCTCGCCTACAGAACGTCCCCCAAAATAAACGTCACACAACCCGCTCACTTCAGCTGGAATCAGGCAGATAAAACACACCATTGCATCATGAAACGATTAAAATGCAGACAACAGAAACAAACAAATGACACGTTACTGTACAGCAGTACATTATATGTCTATATGCACAGGCCTTTGTATTTACATTCATTATATTTGTTTATTCACCGACCGACATGTTGGCATCGTGCATCGAGTGGTCTCGCCACTAACGAAGGGACCCAGCGTAGTGAGCGCACCCATCTATAATATAAAACCACAGAAATGCTCTGGTAATCAATCACTCAGTATGAAATGTATTTTATAACATTCTTTTTTTAATAGACGTTGTCAAACATTCTGCCCAAATGCTCCGGAGAGACCTAAAACATACATTTTTCCCTTTGACACTTAATAGGTAATTCCTCTTTATTTAAGGATGTTGCATATTATATGGTGTCTTAAGTAAAGGAAAGTGTTGAGTGTTTTAGCAACTTAACAAAGTTTAATATGGCTTGAAAACGGTTTGATTTTTGTATTGTATACCTAAATTGTTATAGCTAACTTTATCTTGTTTTATATTGGTTTATTTATTTAATGTGATTTTATTATATCCGATATTTGTAATTCTTTAAATTATTTCAATATAGCTTAGGCTATTTTATCAAGATATGACGCTATTGTGTTGAGTCTACAAAAGTGGGCACGTAAGTTGTAAAGTTTTATATCATTCTGTTGTATTCATGCTTTGTATTTTCTACAAAATAAAAAAATAAAAAACAAGCCGCTTACGGCAACAGAGCTGTGAAGCGAGCACTCTTCTGCCCAGTCTCACACTCAAATAACAGGCATCTAACGCGCATGCATCATGCACAAACACACATTTTAAACTTGACAAAAACTCTCTACGTTTACTGGCTGCTGTGTCTTTAATATGGGGTAAAGATTATTATGCGTTATTGAAACATTAAGGAGGACGCAGCAAAGAAAAGCCACTTATAAATTAAAACTTTATTATTTTTTGCAACAGCCTTACATTTAAAAGGGAAACATAAGGGTGATCATAAGCAAAAAGACACCTAAGGTAATTTATGGAATAGTCTATCTTAAACTGACCAGCTATATGTTTTCTTTCCCTTATTTATTTATTTATTTGTTTGGCGCATGTACTCGTGTGCGATCGGAAAACTAGTGTAATGACGGCATGTCATCTTTACCAGACTCGGGCAAAGTCCGCCTCTTCTATCACTCCGCCCCGAAGCCCCAGCTGGCCCTCTTTGACCTAAGGTCTTCGGCGGGGCAAAAAAGGTTGATCGCTGGCCCTGAGAAAGCCCCGCTTTGGCCCAATCAGGCCCCAGAAGTTCCTCCACATGGTGCCACTGGAAACTGCCCATCTTGAAGGTGGTGCTGAGCTGAACAAGGACAAAAAATGACATTAGTCTGGGGCGACAAGCCTCACAACTGATGACAATCATGAATTTTGTACTAAAGTTTGAAATAAAGTCACATTTGTCCAAAATAAGTATTTCTATTTTTAAAGGCTGATTACTGCTGATTACTGTGTGCTTCAAATGAGATCATTCAGGAACAAAAATGACAACATTTATAGATTTAACAAAGATTAGCTGGATTTAAAGGGCCATGACACCCCCCTCTTTCGGTTAAAGTCTACTTCAGAATTTTTTCAAAAGATGCATGATTAATGGGCGTGGAGCTCCGCGAGCATCGAGCAGGAGTGGGCGTGGCCAGCAGGGGAGAAGGGGAGCGAATAACTGTTGTTGTCAGTTAGCTCACAAAATGAGACACAAAGAGGAGACGCATGAGTTTATAGTTTACAAAATTAAAATGCAAAGAAATGAACAGTGATTTAATGCCCTGCTACTTTTGTTATTCGTAATTTCATATACAGACAACCACAATTTATATCTTTATAAAGATGTGTGTTCATGTAAACACTATAAATGAGGACTTCTACCTCAATCCCCGTATCCAGCAGACTCAGTGCAGCAAGTCTCCTGACCTGTCTATTTTAACCATTAGCTCTGCTGGTAATCTGGAGGATTTAGGCAAACACAGCAGCACGGCGATGTGTCTGAATGTGAACGAACTCCTGATAAAAGACAGCGTCCGCCATTCTCTAATTCTCGTGCTGCTCTCCCGACAAAAATGCTAGCAGCACGCACACAGCTTTGCTATATGATTGGCCCTGACAAGATCGCGGGGGAAAACATGCAACAAACCCCGTGGATGATGGAAACAAACGCATATGAGCCTTCATAAACGGCTAAATACTGTGCCGTGGTTTCCATGTCTCTCGGCTCGGGCTTGACACTGGCAGGTCTGGCAGGTCTGATGAATAATTAAGCAGCCGGCTCTTCTCATAGGATAAGAAAACTCCGCTATGAATAATAATGAGAAACCGACGCGTCATCATTGCACTTGCAGTTCTGCGCTACGTCGCCGATTTTGATCCCGCCCCAAAAATCCTTTTAAACCCGGAAGCTGAAATGAGCTGACAAAAGCTCAAAATTATCCAGTTTTCCCCACAACTAAAGCTGACAGGTGCTAACATTGTCTTAACTGATGCTCAACACACACACATCTGTTAATATAAAAAAAAAAGTTCTCCGGGGTGTCCTGAACCTTTAACATTACTGAGCTGAATGTGTTTGATGTACAAGCATACATGTGATAAAATTTTTAGCATTTGAGAACTAATGCTGGGCTCCACACAATTCTTTGTTGTCATAACGCAAAAAAATTAAGTTACCTTAATCCTTTCATACATTCATTCATTCATTTTCCTTTGCCTTTATCCCTGAATTATCAGGTCAACAAGGCGGAAGGAATCGCCAACTTCTCTGACCCATGTTTTACACAGTGGATGCCCTTCCAGATGCTATATTCCAGTTTAGCAAACAAATATTATTCACATCTTTGAATGGAAACATATTTACTGCTTGGCATCACTTAAAGAGATCATGTCATGAGAAATCAAATTTACCCTGACATAGGCTGTTTCTCAATATGCGTTCTTCAGCGGTCTTGCGTCCTCGTGTTCTCGTGTAACGTCATCATCAGCTGCCTAAGTTCAGTTCCAATACTCAAGACCGAAAGAACAGAGGACGCGTGAAACTTCACGGATGTGTTCTTGATATCGAGAACGCACCAATGCAGACTTGAGCACCAGTCTCGCTTGCATTGATTTTGTTCCATACATTAATGTTTATCAAGAACACACTCTAAGATGAATAATAGTTGTTTTTTACCTGTATTTCCTATGAAAATAAATACAAGCGATGAAAATCACTGAAGATGTCCACTGTGGATGTGGTATATGTGTCCAGTTTCTAATGTTCTCCATACGCTTGAGTCTGCTAAAAAACAGAACAAAGAGAGAAACTTTAAACAGCTCTTAAAACTGACATTAGTCTGGGGCGACAAGCCTCACAACTGATGACAATCATGAATTTTGTGTCAAACATCAGAAGAATCCCAGCATCAAAAATAAACAGACGGTTAAAACATCTCAGACTGCTGATTAACTGTGAATGACTGTTTTATATTGATTATATAAATGTAGATACTTCTGCAAATCTGTCTTATTGGCAAAACTGGCACTATTTTAATAAAATAATATAATGAATTAGTGTACCCCATTGAATGTGTGAAGAGAAAACATTAAATACAATTAACAGGAAAATTCATGGACGCCATGCATACAAAATAATACATTTAGGTTTAATAGTGGAGGGTGCAATTATTAATGCAATGCATTGTTAAATCTGAGTGTACATTTTTATTATTCAACATATGTTGTGAGCACACTCTTATGTCAATTGTTTAATAAAAGTGTTAATACAATTTCTGCAATACACATGCTCATTATTTAATTAGAAACTGATTAGAAGTTTATAGTTTTTAAAGGGGACATACTCTTTTTTGCTGGGCATAAATAGGCAGTTTTGGTGCAGTGCAATCTGGGCTGCAGCCAATGCTTTTTAATGGGCTCACCTAACCCCACCACTTACCCTACCCGTCACAGTGACGTCACTAGCTCCATTTGAGTGCAATGTGTCTGACATTGCATCGCTGAGTGATGCAGTCTCAGCTTGCATCATAAAGGCTGCAACAAGATGCTGTTGAGTTTTTGAGCCAAAAAAAATATATATATATTAAAATAAGATCAATCATATCATAACTACTTTATTCCATGGTTTGATCTCAGCAGTGAATGTTCAGAAACATCTGTTAACAAACATGCAAGAATCTGCTCTTTATACTTGTTTCATTTGAAGGTTTGTTTACATCACGTTCTCCATCTCCATGTATATTTCCTCTGCTTCCTAGTAAACCAAGAACAGCCATGTTTAATATTATTAAAATGATTTACAGACACTCAGAAATGTGTAACGTTAGAGATAGACACTAGTGGTCCTACTCTTACTAGATAAGAGCCTTTTTTGGACCAGATTGTATTTTCATTCCCTACATTTTTTCAACACATTTTACAAAAGAAAGTGTAGATAGTGTAAAAAAAAGATGTCAATCTCTTCAGATTTTATAACAAACCTTAGGATTCATCTCCAGCACACCAGGGTTCAACGCTAAGGATTTTTTCTACTGGTCTGATCGGGCCAATGGTTCAGATTTTTATTTGCCCTACCAAAATTTTCACTGGCCCCACCAAAAAAAGAAAGGGAAGTTAATAGCAATTTTTTCTATACATATTTAAATAATGTGTCAAAACTAAAGTCTGTGAATCTAGAATTTTAATACTTAAAAAAAGTTGTAAAAAAAATTGTTATGCAAACAAAAGGAGCAGTATGGAAAATAAGGAGGTATTTTATTGTGGTTTGAAATTATTTAACAAAGGGTGGCTGACTTGTCAAACTGAAGGCAACTTTTCCGTTGTTCACATGTAAATTACTGCTTCCAAGACATTAAAAACAGATATTTTCTTTTAGCCTTAGAATTTGATGTTGCCGCCATGCTGTCATTTCTTCGCTGTACTGGATGTTACCAGGTTACGGAAAAAATTAAATTCTGTTTAAAGACTTAATAGCACAAACTTAAAATGCACGCAATTGATAAATAGTCACAGACACATTAAATGTTAGTGACAAGGCAGCACTGTCCCAATTGGGCCAGTAATGATCCGGTCTACTGTCCCAAGTGTCTGTCACGCTGGCCCTGGGCCAACGGGCAGTCCTTATTGTTGAGCCCTGCACACTGACTGAAATCACACATAATTAATGTTTACATAATTCAAACACCTGTGTAGACTCTTATTAATAGTTCATAAATTCATGATTTTATGTTTTAACAGATAAATATTTTAATTTAGTCGTTTTACTTGCTATATATATATATATATATATATATATATATATATATATATATATATATATATACACGCCAAGCCGATACCTTTGTTGTCAAATAACTGGACAAAATAATGAACAAGCAAATTATAAAGGCAAACAGCAAGTTCAGGAAACAGTCTGTGCATAAAGTTGCACACATTTTGTTTCCTATTTGCTGGAACAAGCATTAGTGAAATTAGTTAATGAGTAAGCAGATTTAGACACAGCTACAGTAACGTTAATTCTTGTATTTGAATGAATTTGATTACTCGCTCATTAACACATGCCGCCATTTTATTAATCCCAGCATTATCGTTAACCGTTACCTCAGCGACTGTATTTTGCAGCGTAAATAGTTTGATAAGAGCAGATCAAGTGATTTAATTCGATATTCACGATCATATCTCGTGTTTTAATGTGTTAAACAAGCGTTTACCGCCGACGACTTACATTTAAAGTACAAATGAATGCTAATATAAGACATATCTTACCTGTGAACGATTTTAATTGACCCTGATAAACAAAACACTGGCAAACAAATAACAAAGTTTACGCACAGTAATGGTTCTTCAAAAGAAAAATGTTTACTAAATTTATTTTGCTCAAAAACTGTGAAGGAAACAGACGCCATTTTCCGCAGTCACACAAAAGCTCCGCCCACATTGCGAAACTGACCAATCACACAGTGGGTCGTTTGGAATCCCATTTTGATCGTGACGTAACAGCAAACTCGTTTGGAATCCCAATTCGATCGTGACGTAAGAGCAAACTCGGCTACTTTTCGCCATTGCTTTAATTGGACAGCTACAGAGAAGTTGTACAACATTTGCTCTAAGTAATTTGCGTTGCAAATACTGTCAATTGATAGCGTACGGTTTATTAAGGTTTACTTTGATAAACTAACTTTACCTACAGTAAGTTTGAGTATTTATTGTAGGTTTATTTAACATTTCTCATCTTTAAGTCTACGGAAATTAAACTATCATGTTGTTTACCGTACTCGGACTCATCGCTCTCTTCCTCGGAGAGAGAAACGCCAACGCCACTGTTGGTGTTGAAGTTCAAGAAGAGGACCAACATGATGTACCACCCTTGAGGAGCAGTGACGGTAAACGATTTGTCTATTTTATGTAACACATCTGCCTAATTTTCTTAACTGGAGTTTACTGGTATTTTTAGCTTACTAAATGGAAACATGACTAAACAAAGTGAATATGATTAATTAATTATAAATGTTTTGGCTTAAAACAGGGGTGTCAAACATTCGACACACAAATTTCTATTTGTATTACATAAAGATTAATCTTTTTTTTTTTGCTTCAAAATGAAAGATTTAGTACAAAAGATTAAATCCAAACCCTGAGACCTTCAGAACACAGTTTAAGATATTTTAGGTGGTCAGAGATAGGCATGAGCCATAACGTTTTTAAGGTATACCGCGGTTTGGAAAAATCAAGGTTTTAAACTGTCAATTTTCTGTAATACCGTTCCTAAGGTATGTGTGCCATTTTTTATTTACGTTTTTTTAAGACAACAGTATCTTCAGCAGAAAAAGATATGCAAAATGTTGTTTTTCAATTGTAAAGAAATCTTTGTTTGAAACAAATAAAGACAGCAGAAGTCTATAATTCATTTAACCTGACATGTTTACTGCTCTAAAATATTTAACATTTTTCTCAAAATAAAATATTTTGTGCTTAAAAGGAAATAAAACTTTTTGTTTTTTACCCAGACATTTAAAAACAATATATTTTAGAGCAATAAAGACCATACTGTGTTAGCGGGAAATTTTTATCCAAGGTTATCAAACAGTCAGAATCTTATACCGGCCCATGCCTTGTAACTTATTTAATAACAAAAACTAAATAATTTTTGGGGAAACTTAACACTTGTAGCTCAGGAAGAAATCAATTAAATAGTCAATGAACTATAAACAATATAAACTATAAAATAGACAATAAACATTAGGACATGTCTCCACCTGCTGGGGGTTTTAAGTTTTTATTTAGGTCAATCCATGAAATCTCTAAACCAGCCAAAGTACAAGTACAAAACACACTCGAAATATTGTCTAAATATCGCTTTTAAAAAATATGACATAAAATATTAAAACCCTCAAACAATGAGATTTGAGTTTGACACCCCTGTTGTAACAATGACCTAAAACGTTACTTTGTAATTTACAGCATTTTTTAGTGTGCCTAATAAATATTAAATGAACAGAATTTTGATCTAAAATTTTAAATCTAAAAACTAATATCCTGTTTATTTGATTCTTTCTTTAGGTCAAGAAATAGATGCCTGCTGTAAAGAACCATTACTGGTAGAGCCTGTCAGTGTTCACAGTGAAGAGCCATCACTGGTTGAGCCTGACAGTGTTCACAGTGAGCAACCATCACTGGTAGAGCCTGTCAGCGTTCACAATGAAGAACCATCACTGGTAGAGCCTGTCAGCGTTCACAGTGAAGAACCATCACTGGTAGAGTCTGTTAGTGTTCACAGTGAGCAACCATCACTGGTAGAGTCTGTTAGTGTTCACAGTGAGCAACCATCACTGGTAGAGCCTGACAGTGTTCACAGTGAGCAACCATCACTGGTAGAGCCTGACAGTGTTCGCAGTGAGCAACCATCACTGGTTGAGCCTGACAGTGTTCACAGTGAGCAAACATCACTGGTAGAGCCTGACAGTGTTCACAGTGAAGAACCATCACTGGTAGAGCCTGTCAGCGTTCACAGTGAGCAACCATCACTGGTAGAGCCTGTCAGCGTTCACAGTGAGCAACCATCACTGGTAGAGCCTGTCAGTGATGATCCTTCATTTGATTTCTCTGATGAGCCCGGCTCCCACGCCGTTGAAGATGCAACCTGTCAGACAGAGGACAAAGAGACACAAATCATTGGTAAGTTTACTACCATGACCCTAAAGTCATCCAACACACATGCATATTTTAATGGTCCTTTATGCTTTAAACAGACTTTAGTTTGCATTTTCTTCAGGAATAGTAAAAATTATACCTATTTATGAAGCTTTAATATATACTGTATTCGTATTTAAAGGGATAGTTCACCCATAACTGGAACTGTCATCATTCACTCACACTTTACTTTTTCTGAACCTGTTTTAGGTTCTGTCTTCTGTTGAACATAATATTATATATTTTGAAGAAAGCTTGAAACCTGCAAACTATTGACTTTCACAGTATTTGTTTTTCCCACTATGGAAGACGGTGGTTACAGGTTTTCAGTTCAAAATATCTTCTTTAGTTAACAGAGCAAAGAAACTCATAAATGTTTGAAACCACTTGAGGATGGGATAATATTGAGTAAATGTTCATTTTTGAGTGAAATATAACTTTAAGGCTGAATATTTTACACTGAATAGTTTTTTAATGAACTTTTAAAGGGACAAATATTCAGTGTAGTATCTCAGTTTATATATGAAAGAGGAAACGTTTGAGATGGAGGTACTGTGGTACTGTTACTGATTTCTGATTGTTATCAACATCTCTTCTTTGTCTTTTCACAGAGATCAATTCACAAGGCTATGAAATTGGCGCTGAGCTGGATAAAGGAGGCTGTGGAACCGTTTACGAAGGGTCCCGATTAGAAGATGGCCTTCAGGTGGCAGTAAAAGTGTCCAATTTTAAGAAGAAGCAATTGATCAGTGTTGTAAGTATTCTGTGCTTTTTGCACTCATTTACAGTTTTCTTGTCATATTAACATTATTCGTAGACTATAAATGAGTTTTGTAATAGACATTGCCAACAGTTTGTTCAGGACTAGTTTCCTGAAAATACCTTTTCCAAATGATCTTCACAACTGTCTTTCTTCTAGGATGGGTTTGATGAACCACTTCCACTGGAGATTGCTCTGCACTTTCTGGCCAATAAAGGCCCCAAGGTCAAGGAAATTATCGAGCTTCTGGACTGGAAGGTTGAGGCTGATCACTACTTTATGGTGCTAGAGCGGCCCATACCCTGCGTGAGCTTGTTCGATTTCCTAAGTAAGCACAGAGGCATCCTTCCAGAGGACAAGTTGCGGAAAATCATGCTCCAGACAATAATTGCTGCCCAAACATGCTGCCAGCGTGGAGTTCTTCACCGCGATATTAAGCTGGAGAACTTGCTGATTAACCCGGACACCCTTGAGGTCAAACTGATTGACTTCGGATGTGGTGACCTCCTTACTGAGGACATTTACAAAGAATTTAAAGGTATGTTCATCCCTCAAAGCTATAAGAAACTCTGCTGATAAGTCAGTTTTTTTTTATGTGAGTCTTGAAACATTCGCTGTTGTTTATCTGTTCTGTTGTTGGAAACAAATTTTCTTTCAGGCACCAAAGAGTTCGCCCCTCCTGAGTTTTGGAGGATTGGCAGATACCGTGGGAAACCAGCGACAGTCTGGTCACTTGGAGTTGTTCTGTTTGTGCTGATTTTCTGCAGATATCCAGGAAAAGCAGACCTTCCCAAAGTGAATAACAAACACATACCGATTAATGGCTTGTCGAAAGGTGAGATCTTCATTTAAGCTAAAGAGGGTTGTCTAGGATCATTTGAATGTCATTTTAAAAAGCATGTATAAACGTAATAATTACATGTATCTCTTTCTTCTATCTGCATAGAATGCTGCGATTTCTTCCACGGCTGTCTGCAGCTGAACCAAATGGATCGACTTGACCTGCAAAAGCTCAATTCCCATGAGTGGTTTAAAGAATTGAATACATTTTGACATCAGCCATCTTACACTGTCATAAGCCGGGTTTCCATCCTAATGTGATGTTAATTAGGTGCATTTCCATCAAGCTGTTAGAGCAGCTGACTGTAATATTGGTAACCTAGTAACTAATACTAAGCAAGACAAGTATAATGGAGTCATGTTTGTGTAATGTTCACTATGTTAGTTTATTCAGCAAATGTGTCTCCATCTCCCGTTTTCAGCATTAGTTTTTTGCACCACCCCAAGTGAGCATTAACAGTATTTATTTTTTTGCAAATTAATTGATATTTAAAACTGATTTCTATTACTCATTTTAACACCGGCTGATGGAAACCAAGCTATATCTTATGTTCTTTCATTTATACTTATTGTATATATTGCTTTTCTTTTTACTACATGTTGTAGTCCTATAGCTGAAAGCCGTTAAATTCAAAAAGAATAAGAAAGAAATTTTGTGTAAAAAAGAAAAAAAAATGGAAAAAGCACTTAACAGTTTAGACCTTTATATATTGTACCTTCCTGCACTTTATTATCAGCTTTTACACTAACTTTTGCAATTCCACATGCTAAAAAAATAAAATAAAAATGTATATCTCAGTCGTTCCCAGTCCAGGTCCACATATTTTGGGTGTCTCTCTCTAAGAAATGTAATTTGAGCCAGAGGAGAGAGACTCCTGACCAAAGACTACTGGGATCAACTGATATATATACAGGGTTTCCAATGAACATTATCACTCACCAGCCAATTTGAAAAAAACTGGAAAAACAATTAATAAAATAAAACAATAAAAAAGTAAAAAAATAAAAATAAATGAAAAACATCATTAAAAAAACAATAAAAAATAAAAAAATAAAAAAAATAAAAAACATCACTAATAAATAAAGCAAAAATTTTTTAAAATAATAAAATAAAAAACTCACTAATAATTAAAACAATAAAAAAGTAAATAAAATAAAAAACATCATTAATAAATAAAACAATAAAGTAAAAAATAATAAAATAAAAAACATGATTAATAAATTAAAAATAATAAACAAACATTTTTATTCACAGTTTCTTCTCCTCAGTGTGATTATAGGAGACGCGTTCACAAGCACTGTGCAGTGACATATACCCCACGGATGCCTGCGCGACTTCCTCTCTGACTTCCTCTCTTAAAAACTTCACAGGCACATCCAAGGTTATATGTCAGAGGCGCAACACGTGAACGCGTGCCCTATACTGACACTGAGGGAAGAAACTGTTGAATAAAGTTATTTTTGTTTTATGTGTCGTTCCCAGTCCAGGCCCATATATTTTGAGTGTCTCTCTCTAAGAAATGTAATTTGAGCCAGAGGAGAGAGACTCCTGATAAAATAAAAAACATCATTAATAAATAAAACTATAAAAACTAAAAAATAATAAAATAAAAAACACCTTTAATAAATAAAACAATAAAAAAGTAAAAAAAAAATTATAATAATAATATAAAAACATCATTAATAAATAAAACTATAAAAAATGCCTATATTGAAATATAAATCTGGCCATGTTATTGACTAATCAGAAATTCTTCTAAAAACAAGCAAAAAATATTAATAAATAAAATATTGAAAAAAAGTAAGTTTTGTTATTTATTACTCATCCTCATGTTCACTATTTAAACTATTTTTATTTTTATGTTAGAGCTCCCTCATCCAGACTCAAAGTCCACAAAAACAGTAAAAAAACATCCTCAAAACAGATCATACGCCTTCACATAAAACAAACATTTTTATTCACAGTTTCTTCTCCTCAGTGTGATTATAGGGCACGCGTTCACAAGCACTGTGCAGTGACATATACCCCACGGATGCCTGTGCGACTTCCTCTCTGACTTCCTCTCTTAAAAACTTCACAGGCACATCCAAGGTTATGTCAGAGGCGCAACACGTGACCGTGTGCCCTGTACTGACACTGAGGGAAGAAACTGTTGAATAAAGTTATTTTTGTTTTATGTGCACATAAAAGTATCCTCATAGTCAGGAATCTTGCTGTCTATGAGAGATTAAGGAGCTCTCAGATTTAACTAAAATATCTTCATTATTTTCATTCAGATATCTTCATTTGTGTTCTGAAGATGAATAAAGTTACTACCTTTAGTATTTGCTTTAATATTGTCCTCATATACAACCTTCTCTAGTCTAATGTTTTGCTAATGTGGTATATGATTTATGGTTGGAGGACATCATTTATTGACTAGTGATTTTGTGTGTAGTTGTAGTTCATGGTGAGTGATAATCGAAACCCTGTATATATAGGTGGCGATGTCCGTTCCTCCACGTGGTGCCACTGGAAACTGCCCATCTTAAAGGTGGTGCTGAGCTGAACACGGACAAAAACTGACATTAGTCTGGGGCGACAAGCCTCACAACTGATGACAATGATGAATTTTGTACTAAAGTTTGAAATAAAGTCACATTAAGAAAAAAAAAGTGTTTCTTCTTTCTTCTAAGTCTGGTTGCTTATTCAAGATCAAAAAATTATGTTTGTAAATTTAACAAAGAAGTACATTTCAAATCTAAAATGCCATTTTAGACGGAAAACGATCTGCATCGTGATTGGTGTTTTCTCTGTCCACACTATACTGCCCAAAACACATGATGTGACCATTCACGCTCATTGGACATATGCATTTAATGTGCCCCCATCCATACTTGGTAGTCTACTGGTTGGTTATGTCATGTTTATATGAGAGGGACTTGAGGAATCAGGGAATGAAGTGTGTGTGTGTACGTGTTTTTGTGTCATATTAGGACACAAATCCGTATAATGACGTAGGTATGACACAGATATTACAAAAAGGAGGTGAAATATAAGGACATTGGTGACGTCCTTGTTTCTCAAAATGCTAATAAATCCTACAGAATGAGTTTAATCAGGGAGTAAAGCTGCACACAGTCTCCTGTGATGGTTGGGTTTGGTCTTGGGGTGGGGTGAGGGCAATACAATATGCGATTTGTACCATATAAAATGATTGGAAATCTATGTAATGTCCCCACTTTTCACAAAAACAAATGTGTGTGTATATATATATATATATATATATATATATATATATATATATATATATATATGTGTGTGTGTGTGTGTGTGTGTGTGTGTATATACACACACACAAATGAACGCAGAATTATTAGCCCCCTTTGTTTTTTGTTTTTTAAATATTTCCCCAAATGATGTTTAACAGAGCAACAGAGGTATTTTTCCCAGTATGTATGATAATATTTTTTCTTCTGGAGAGTCTTTTTTTGTGTGTTATTTGGCTGGAATTAAAGCAGTTTTTAATTTTTTAAAGCCCTTTTAAGCTTTTTTATTATTTTTCGAAAGTCTACAGAACAAACCATCGTTATACAATTACTTGCCCAATGACCCTAACATGCCTACTTAAGTCTTTAAACGTCACTTAAGGCTGTATAGACGTGTCAAAATAGTCAAATATTATTTACTGTCATCATGCAGTGTTTCTGCCAGGTCTTAAAATGTCTTAAATTTCAAAATCCAAATTTTAGGCCTTTAAAAGTTCTAAATTTACTGAAATATTGTGTTGTAGGTCTTAACTTTTTTTTTTTTTTAAATAGGTCTGAATTTTTCCTGTGTTCATGTATTGCTACCTACTCTGGCCAAAACCCATACAATCACCAACAAACCATCACAATAAAACTTTAAACATTTAATTTGAAAAAGTGATTTTTAACTCTGTTTATCATAATGGTTTAATTATTTACCTTACAATAACATTTGTTCAAAAGTTCTCCCTGTATTTACTTCTGATGACACCGACCTGGACGGATTGTTGTCCATAGATGTAGTTTATTATAGTTTTTAAACCTTTTAAAAATATATATTAAATATTTATAATTATAGTTACTATTAAATATCTATAATTTTTTGATAGGTTAAAAAAAATATTTTTTTATCTGGATCATTTAAAAAAATTCTTAGCCTTTAGCACATTATGAGTCTAAAATTTAATTCATAATGGGCTTAAAAATGTCTTAAAAAGTCTCGGTGAAACTTGCAGAGACTCTGTCATGGTAAAGATAAAAATTAATCAGTTATTAGAAATGAGTTATTATGTTTAGAAATGTGTTGAAAAAAATCTTCTCTCCGTTAAACAAATTGGGAAATAATAAACAGGTGGCTAATAATACAGGGGGCTAATACTTCTCTCCAACTGTACATACATATATAAAAGGGAGTTGTTGTTTTTTTTATCTTACCACCACATTTATGTATGTGCTTACACAATGCATGACATATTTAATGTTTGGACATCCGCCATTGACTTAATAGACTAGAAAAAGCTTGGTTATTACCTCATATGTACTGCATTTCCAATAAAACCAAAAGAGGTTCATTGTAAAATTCTTCATAAAAGACATCCAGTGAATAGTACTGGTAAAGTATATGGAGGTTGATAGCTCATGCTCATTTTGTAAAACTGATTAAACCCTTGTCTTAAAAAAGGTGAAACCCTGATTCACACATTCTTTCAGTGTGAAAACACAAAAATCTTTTGCAAAATGTTAAATCTTCCTATAAGTAATTACACTGCTTCTTTCAACCCCTTTCAACTACAAGATATTGTTTGTTACTATTAGGGTAAAACTGTTATACAGAGTGGGGTCTGGATGCAGAACTGATGCAGTGCAATCAGAGCTGCATCCAGTGCTTTTTAATGCCCATCCCTTGCTCTGTTAAATAATAATAATAATAACAATAATATATATATATATATATATATATATATATATATATATATATATAATTATTCATTCATTCATTTTCTTGTCGGCTTAGTCGCGGGGTCGCCACAGCGGAATGAACCGCCAACTTATCCAGCAAGTTTTTTACGCAGCGGATGCCCCTCTAGCCGCAACCCATCTCTGGGAAAATATATAATTATATAAATTATAAATAATTATGTTTATATAATAATAATGATACAAATACAATATATATATTATTGGTCTACACAATACACAGAATCTAACACCCCTCACAAATTTATCCTTTAAATTCATATTTTTAATAGGAAGCTAAACAATATTATACGAGTGCATAAAATGACTGAAGCCAAATCTGGAGCTTATCTAACAAAATAACTAACAATAAAGGTCCAAAAACTAGTACAGCCAAATTTAAATGTTATAGAAAATATTACAAACTAATTTTAACAAGAGGAAAAATCAAGAGAAACACAATTTAGTTGAATTTATTTTGAAGGTTGTAATTTTTTTTTTTTTGCAAAATTTTGCATTAGTTTAATTCTATTATCTTTCTATTTCTTAAGATGTTTGGTAAGATGTTGAAATGTTTCTGTTTCATAAATCTGTTTTGTTCAAATGCACCAATATTCATTTTTAAAATGGGGGGTTCTCAATTATGCTGACTCTGAGCACTGGATAAACCATTATCCTAGTTGACAGAAAAGTGTAGATAGAATTAAGAAATGAAAAGAAAGAGAAAAAAATATACATGAACTCAAATAAAATAGGTCACGTATAATATTAATGTATGTTTCTTACATTTCTTTTCCTGTTTCCTGTTTTTTAATGTGTTTATAATATTATTTGAGCTGATCTGTTAAGTTATTATGATTATTACTATCACTGTCTTGTATTGTGTAGGAATTGTGTGTTTATTATTGAAAACGATTTAAAAAAGACTATTTAATCTGTAAATACCTTCAGTTTTCCTGTAATAGTGCAGCTTTCAGTCTGAGGAAGTGTGTTTTTGTCTCTGTCTGTGTGTGAGAGAGAGAGAGAGAGAG